CCTCCACCAGTGTGTGAGAGTGAATGAATAGAGGAATTGTAAAGCACTTTGAGGGCCCCGAAAAGCGCTATATAAATGCAATCCATTGTTATTATTACTTCTCTCTAACACCTTTTCTATCCCTTTGAAGAACTTAGGCTCCATAAATGCTAAAGAGGTAAGTATTATTTCTCAGTTGCAGTGAATAGATAGAAAATAAACTGTAGTCGAATGATCCAGCAAGGGAAGGGGAGGAGAACCGTTGGAACTGTAGATTCATATCAGTTGTGTGTGGAATCTGGAATCTGGAATCTGGCAGTTACAATTACTACTTGTATAAGATAAGTACAGTTACATCATGAACATTCCCACACATGCATGTACACAACAGAGAGATAGAAAGAATGCAACCTGAGAGGACATAAGGATCACGACAAGTACCTCCACAAAACTACGTAAGTGTCAAGAAGTCCCCAGCCACCACTCTTTTCTTTATATTTTGTTATGAAAATGGGAAATATGTGCAGGGATTTATTGAAACATCCAAACATACATGAAAATACTGTACACAATACAATTAACTTGAAAGTCAATGTTTGGTATGACCATCTTTATTCTTCAACACAAGCTTTGGTGTAATTTCTTTAATAGTTCTCCACGCCTCTTGAAGGACCTTCAAAGGTCTTCTTTGGGTGTTTCTGCCTTTTCTTCTGTTCTCTGTCAAGATGATCCCGCGCTGCTTTAATAATGTTGAACGTTGAGATTCAGGCTCTGAGGAGGCCAATCTTTTGGGGCTCACTGCCATGCTGAAAATGAAGCTGTTTCCGATCAAATGGTTTCAAAATGTTAATGCGTGGTGGATCAAAACCTGACAGTAGTTGACGAGGCTTCAGTCAACAGTAGATGGATCAACTGAAGGGTCGGATGCATCGCTCAGGTCCAAATTTGTTATCTTTGGCATTTTTCATAGATTCAACTAAAGAAATGGGAATAAATCATGTGTTTTTGCGACAGACTGCTGATTAAAAAGGGCCTTAAGATACAAGTTAAATTTGGTTCTTTGCTAAGTTGTCTGTTATGAGCAGACGAAACACTGGCCCATCGTTCATACCTCAGTGTTAAGTGGCCTAACAAAAAAACTAAGAAATATATAGTCTAGAAGGAAAAATACAAAGAAATGAGGGGCAGTTCAAGAGTTTTGCACAGCTGTGAAATAACAAAACGCATAACAAGTCATAATGTATGATTCAAAGACAGTTATTTTTACTTCACAAACGCAAGCAGTTATGCAGATTTTTCACTCTATAAACTCAAATCTGTTCATATAAATGTAGAACTGCTGCTCACTCTGCTGTGGAAACTCTGAGTATCACCTCCGGTTGAAGTTAAGTTAAAAGACACTTCATTAGTTTGGTATTTTGCTGTTGTTGTTGTTGTTGTGTGTGTGTGTGTGTGTGTGTGTGTGTGTGTGTGTGTGTGTGTGTGTGTGTGTGTGTGTGTGTACAAAGATAAAAAGGAAGAAGGAAGCGCTTGATCGCCCCACGGGGGAGTAGCTCTGGGCTAGAGGTTACTGTACACTGTACACTGATTACTGGCGGAGGCCAAGTTCATTGTTGCTCACACACCGCTGCATGTGACTGTCGTTCGCAGACCACAGACGGCAGCTGACACCTCTGCTCCTACACCAGCTTTTCTTATCGCATGGCTTTGTTTACTCTGCGCATATATACGTGAGAGAAAGTCTGCCTGAAGCTGAGCGCAAAAACTGGAGATGTACTGGTTCGAGCAAGGTCTGTGCGCCCTGCCAGCGTTCCTAGTCGTCTGGTCTTCCGCCACTTTCATTATTTGTTATATCATCGCGATTTACAGGCACGACGTCGATGTAATCTTCCCGTACATAAGGTAAGTTTATTTGAAGAGCTCACACAAAGCAGACTTTCTTTCATGCTCAACCTGATTCGGAGCCGTGGAAAACGTTTCATGAGAAAACGTCTTAGTTTCGGTTTCTTCCGCTATAACAAACACCAGCTGCGTGCAGCCTGCACATCTGTTTATTGTAGGAGACTAGCGCAAATCTGTTCTTTCACTTCGCTTTCATTAGAAGACTTTTATGTTAAGAAGAGGCAACTAAATGTTTAATATTGTACAAAACACAGTCACACAACCCACGTATTGTCTCATATAACCCGAACTCAGGACTGAAAATCTGCACGGGTCTTTACTCTTTTTCTTTTCTTTCCAGCGACACAGGTGTCAGCCCCCCAGAGAGCTGCATTTTTGGTCTGATGACTTTTATTTCTGCATGTGCAGGTATTTGAAATTTCAGTGTGGACATCTGCAGTGTCATCTCTGTGAACTGACTCTTTTTAGGCAACTCTGGGCTTTCCCTAAGGAGGAAGCATGCTTTCCAAAGATGCTTCTCACATTTCCCCTTTTTTAAGAAAATGAAAGTACAACTCATGCATTAGGGTAAATGTGTAGGTTTGCACACTCTCGTGACTCTCTGTGTTTTTTGCACAGGTGTGGGCACAATTTATGCCAGATACAAGCACGTGGAATTGCTGAGGGAGGACGCCACTAATGTGAGCGCATGCCTCAACAAAGCAGCGCTTTGGCTTGGTGTTATCTCATGTTTTGGCATGTGCATTGTTGCTACTTTCCAAGTATGTACTCACATTAAAATCACATTTAACACATCACAACTAATTCAGTGTAATTACAAGTGGTGCCTTTTCTTTTCTTTTTTCTTGATTGCAGGAAACAGTAGTGCAAATAGTCCATGATATTGGAGCAATTCTGTTTTTTGTCTTTGGCATTGTGTACATGATCCTCCAGTGTGTTATATCATTCCGAGCCTATCCCTATGGGTCCTCCAAGAATGTGTGTTGTGTGCGGGTCGCTATCGCCTCCCTTGCTACTGTTGCATTTGTACCCAGTATCCTTTTTGAGTGTTCAAATGTCTGTGTGATTTAACTTTGTGATGATGATAACGATGATGAAGCTTTTATATATCAGGACTTAGAAAAATAAGTCATCTGGTCCTTCTTAGGTTTGAAAATTATTTAAATACAACTTTAGATGAACAATAATATGTGACATATTATACCGTCATTATTTACTTATTTATATTTATTTATATTATTTATAACAAAAACTAAGCTGAAATGCAGAAGCAGTGTAGTCCTGAAACGTTTTTTACTAGTCCCTCACATCGACTTTTAAAATAAATAATAGCACTGTGTATCATGTTATGTTCTATTCACTTGAAATTAGCCAAGACAAAGTTTTAAACAACCTTAGTTGTACATAATATGCAGTATAAATAACAGCCAAGGGTTTTAAAATGATTGAGAGACTGGGCAGCTCTTATGTGAAACAGCAAGTTGTTATAACGATTAAGAGCCACCACTGAAAAGAGTCTATCTTAGATTAGGACTTATTTAAGAGCAGCTGGTTTAGAGGCCTCAGTGCTCTGGTAGGATTGCAGGGTATCAAAAGTGTGGCACCAAACCCTTGAGACTTAAAACCAAGTAAGAGAATTTTCAACTGTATACTAAAATGGACTGGAAACCAGTCTAAGTAGGCCAGTGTGGGTGTAATGTGTTCACGTCGTTTCTTTCCCGTCAAAAGGCGAGCAGCTGCATTTCGAAAAGCTTGCAGGCAATAAAGTAATGACTGATCAGAGCCAACATATAAAGAGTTTCAGTAATCTAAATAAGAAGTAATAAAAGCAAAGTCAGGCTGTATTTACATAATTTTAACCCCTGCTGAGGACCGGCAGACTTTTTATTACAACCTGATATATAAACCTTTTTTTTTTTTTACTTTATTTTTCTCTTGGCAATATGTCAATATGTAAATGTATGACCTGCAGAATATTATGATTAGTGTCATTTCCTGTATCGACTCAGTGTTTTCCTTCATGGATAACTCAGCTGTCATCTGTGCATTTTACGTGAAACAAACGGAGCTGCACAGACAAAAGCATGACAAGGTAGGCCACAGTGTGTCAGCACATTGCATCAGAT